CAGTTAAGTATGTATGCACAGAACTGTCTGAGATCGACAGGCCTTAATGAAATATAGAAGTCAACATTCCTTTAGACTTCAATAAGATCTGAGACTAGGTTTATTTCCCATGGTTTTGGGTCACGCTGTCAGCATTTCACAGGGCCACTCAGCATATTCTATGAATAGAGTCAAGAACTGAAGTTTCAGTCCAACCAATGTCCCTACCATTTATTAACGTCAAGCATGCACTAAAACACAGACCTCCACATAATTCACGATAAATGGCAGTTTCCTCCATTTCCCAGCTCTTGCCAAGCAGAATGGCTCTCCTTCATTTCACGAGTTACTTTGGTGGTCACATTTTATCAAGCCGTGCAACAAGTGCCTGAACTATAGTGCTGTTACTTATTACCGAGGATGCATTTCTTACCTTGGCATGCTGAACACCAGAGCCTGGCTGCAGCAGAAGATGGAGGTGCATGAAGAATACAAGATCAAAATATCACTGAGGACAACAGGTCTCTACTTTTAGCATGGGCCTAGTTCCTGGTGTCCACTTACGGAGATCAAAGGTATAATTTACCTAGAGGAAGAATTATTTGTGCATAAACAGCCATTAACTAATAATACAGAGAAGATGCTTTTAAATTCAAATGGCACATCAGCCATCACTGAACAAGTGACCCAAGCATCTTGTTACTTACATAAACTGAAGCACAAGGGAGTCTGATGTCTGAATGCTGATGACAAAACTTCTTTGTGAGTAACACTGGCAAAGTCTTTTAGAGAGCAATTCAGGACTAAGTTTAAAGAAAATGGGTCACTTCTAGTAGAAACTAAGAATCATATTTCTTTCGCTGCTTGCATTCAACAGGGCATGGAAATAACTGTTGCTGTATTGTTTCAAAACCTGATTATCTTGAAGGGGGAAAAGGGGAGGCACTTGTCTGTTCTCATGAAAAACCTGTAGTAGTGTAAGGTGTTGAGGAAAGAACATCCTTCTTCCACAGAGAAGGAAAAGACTATTCTGAATGGGGAAGGCTGGTTACAGTGCTCATCAACTACCATGGCCTGCACCTACTGCATTTCTTATGAGTCTTACCTTCAGCCCCCATCCCTAGGCTTCAGTCCTTCCAGTTTCATTTCGGTGCATCTCCTCTTGGGCTATAAGGTCTTAAAATACAGCACTAAGTGATGTCTCAGCTTGTTCTGCCTGCAGCTTTGGGAGTGACCATATAGCACCCCCAGACTGCAATTCAGCTTCTTTAAATAGAATAAACATTTATTTAAATAGTAGTCTTCCTCCACCACTCGCTCAAAAGCATATGAGCAGGGGATCAAAGATTTCTCAAGCTCAACTGGCCCATCCAAACATCAGGTTTAAGGCTTACTGACCTCTATAGCCAATAACACACACAGGAGTTATATAATTAAGATAACAACCACACTTCAAATACTGAATCCAAATAATCTGGCATTTACAGTTTGGTCAGCTGGGATCTTTCTTTTATACAAGGTGAAAGCACAGTTTGGCATCACTCATCTGGATTGTTAGCACAATGCCTGACTATCACATTACCCTTAAGAAAACAATACATGTAAGCAGCAGTTCATTCTGGAAACGTCCCAGTGGCTTAAAATACAAGCAAAACCAGTCTGAGAGCAGAAGTTGGGAAGATAATAAATGCAGCACTAGCAAAGTAACATTGCGATGCTCTCAAAACAGGAGGTTCTTTTCAAGAGTGAGGGGATGAGACAGGCCAACCTCACAAAATCATGGCTGTTTGCTGACTTTGAACAACTGAGCAGCTGCCCAGAGGGAGGGATTTGAGAAGGCGAGAAGGCTTAAGGAGTAGGTTTTGAAATGGAAGTTGGTGCTGGTTCAGAAGAAGGAGAACAACTGTAGTCACATGCTCGTATGTTTCTTTGCTGGTTGTTCTTAGACTCACTAGGTTCATAAGGGCTCTGTTAGCTAAACTATAAGGACTGTGGGAAGCAAAACGAGTAACGGGAACTGTCAGAAATAGGTTTCTATGTTTCTGCTTGGTTTTAAGAATGCCTCAGCTCCTTGCTCTTGGTCCACTCTTGGTGGGTGTCCCAGGTGTGATTTCTTTTGGCCCTCCTCTTAATCATGGCCCCATGTCCATGACTTTTCCCAGGGACTGCCTGAATCTTTCACTTTCCAAAATGGGAACCAGGACCCCTGGCCAGTCTGGACAGATCACCTGGCATGGTCAAGATTTACAGTACTGAAATGCCACAGTGATGAGAAGCTGGTTTCAGGAACAGACACTTGAAAATGGTCTGGTGTTGGCTACAGATCACCATTTAAGCAGGGAGCATGATCAATGGGTAACAGAGGATGCAGAAGTAAGGAGGTCAGGGCAGGATGCAAAGCAGTCTCTGAACTCAACTCACCAAACATGTACGAAACAGATACGTACGTACCAGCAGTAGTCTGTGATGTTACACAGCTCTGTAAACTTATGATGTGACAGAAGTGGATATACATTATTTAGCCAGTAGTTCCAGCCAGTTATCTCAAGCTGGTACAGAATCGACATTCAGTATGTGTAGGCTAAAGACAATAGACAAACACATCATGAACAGACAAGCCTTCAGTTCTTACCAGATTAAGTGGTTCATTTAACTAGCAGGTAATTCTTTAATGAAAACAGTAGGAGTTTTCATTAAAGTGCAGCCACAACAAGCTTCTAAAGGCCAAAAAGAAGAATGTGTTTGGAAGCTGCTACCATAAAGTAACGAGCTGGATTTGCCCCAGGATTAAATAATGTGTTGCTGCTGAAGTCTTGGGTGATGAAGCAGCTCAGGCAAGCAGCTCCCTGATGTTGGGTTTGTTCCCTTATACTTGTAAAGACACAACATTCACCTCAGTGCTGCTCTGGTGTTTGTCCAAATAATGAAACTAGCTACTACATTGGCAGATTAAGCCCTGAGTGAGGGGTTCTGTAAAAATTAGGCAGCCCCATAAAAACAGACTGACAGAAGAAGAAAGGAGGGGAGGTGCTTGGCAGAAAAAAAAAATAATTAAGGGTTAAAAATATGTCATATGTTTTGGCAATGGCACAGGAGGAGACAGACTGCAGATAATGATCACTGCTACTACTAGTCAACACTTACTTGAGCTACTAAGGTCCTTTCTACAGTGTAGTTAATGGGTAGCACGCTGACAATACCACAGCTATCAACCGACCTAGTTACTGCAGGGTTTCCGTTCCCAGCACTCACAGCCAATATAAACTTACTTCAACTTTTGCAACTATTAATGCTTTGTTTAAAACTTCAGCAACTGGAATCAAGTGATCGCTGCTGAATCTCAGCTTTTACTGAAACAGATAAAGAAAATACAAAGCTTCTCACCATCAGAGAAAAGCCTGATAAGACGAATTCCCTAAGGTCAAAAGTCATGACAACAAACAAAGAGAACCTAACCCAAGACAGGGTTAAAATATTCTGATTTTAAAAGCACACCTGGTATTTTTGAGGGGTCTCCTTCATTTTCTGATTGTATTCCTGGAGGAGTACTTGGTGAAAGATGGGACTGGCTTTAAAAAAGGAAGCATTCATTACCAAAAATTAGCACAAAAGGCAGCAGAAACACATTTACACCAGCTGGGAAAGGAAAAAGCCAAAGCGCTGCACAAATTACACAAAATGAAGAAAAACCCATTACAAGGTGGTAGGGGAAAGCAGGAGGGAGATTTTTTTGCTTTCCGTTCTCTTGATCATCCTATCCAATACAAGAATCCTTTAAATCTGTCTCTCTCCAAATGTCGCTTTCACCTCCCTCTTCTAGGCCAAGCTTCCCTTAACACTGAGTTCAGCTATACAAGCTGGAGATAAAAGAGGAAACCAAACACACAATAAAAACATGAGGATTGACCAATCGAGGATTCCTAGAAGTGAGTATCACAAAGGCAAGGTTGGTTAGCACTCAAGCTACCAAGGTTAAAGGTCAGCCCTGCATTCCTCTTGGGAGGAGAGAAAGGGGGTGTGATTTTCTAACTCCATAGCATGAGAGTTTCCTACGTGAGCCAGGGGATTTACCCTGTTACTTTCAATGGACCGTGTGGCTTATTATCTCAGTCAGCTTGGGTCAGCTTCTCATCTAGGTGAGGTCCAAGTAGATCCAATTCAGTCTTACGTGAAAGTGAAACCTTCAGCCCTGTGCTCTGTGTGCTCGTGTCACGCTGGAGGGTCAGTCCCAGAGCTCCCCTGCAGCATCCCCACCTCCAGGTGCTCAGCCCACAGTCCCACCACCATCCATGCTTATCTTGGGGACTGCAAGTTAGATGTGTGACTCAGGCTACCTCCAGCAGTGGGGATGGTGGGGATGAGCATGCATACACTACTCCCTAGGCTCTCTCCTTTAGCTTGCACTATTAGCTAGAGTTGGTGGCATGACACTGGCTGCATGGACCCATGCAGGACATCACTGTGCCCAGCAATGTGGCCTGAAGACCATCAGCTGCGAGATCTTTGATGCTGCTCCATGTCCTGGAGACAGTTACACCGATTTAGCCTTAAAGAAAAGCCATCCAATGTTTGTCAGCTAACAAGTCATGAGGGACAAAAAAAGCCACTTGGAGGGCTTTCTGAGTATGTAAGCATATTATCAAAAAACCAAAACCAATCCCAAAACCATCTCAGTGGTTAATAATCATATACCTGGAAAAAGAAATTTAAAATAATATTCTTTTCCCCTTAGCAGCCCAGTCGGTCAGGAGTGACTTGATAGCCATATGGTGCACCTATCGCTACAGCAAGCAGATCTAGATAACAGTGAGGGACTGGCATGAGAGTGGGAAGCAGGCGTTCCCTGTCACTTGTAATCTTCTCACATCCAGAGGCGTCTTAAGTCCTTTCTAAACACATTGATACTGCCTGAAATTCACCAAAAAAACCCCAGCCTTTGTTTGTGTTAACAGGATGAGAAAGTGCAAGGCTTCCTGTTATGTGTGTGTGACAGCTATAGATAAGCAGAGACCTCTGGACAGGAAATCCGCCCAACTTCTGCATTGACTCGTCTGAAGCTTAGGAGCTCTTTTTAGATTGAAGCACCAACAGAATGAGTCGGTGCTGGCCAGAAAATGGGGGACACACTGGAGAAGAGCTCTGAGAATCCTGAGATCTCTTTGGACAATGAGTGTTCAACAAAAATGGGGGACCTGGTGGAAGTCTCAAGTGGTGGAAAGGTCAAATTTGACGATACAGGTCTCTCTCTGGTGCTCCAGAATGGCCTGGAGAACCTTCGGCTTGAAAATTCCCTTACAGATGTCATCCTGTGCGTGGACAGCAGGGAATTCTCCTGCCACCGAGTAGTCCTTGCCGCAGCAAGCAATTATTTCAGGTAAGGCATGTAAGAAACAAAACAAGTAAACTTACTTTGCTTCTTAGGCTTGAACAATAGCTCTCCAAGGAGTGTAAACTGGGTGCTAAATTCTGCAAATTTGCAGTAAGCCTGTAATTCCTGACACCTTTCAGCTCTTTTTTTTTTTTTTTTTAAATTTGGAGACTTAAATAAGGCAGGTCCCAAGTTGTGGATTTGCCGGAGTTCTGATACTAGCACTCAGCAAGTCTGCTGGAGGCATGCAAAGAAACAGAGAATGATTGGCAGGCAAGTGGATGAGAAAATGGTGTTTTAATCAAATATATGTAGCCGCTTGTGTTGTCCCTTTGTGATTCAGGCAAAGAGGAATATTCATTCAGACCACATGGTATTTTTATTGAGATAGGAGTGGGGTTTGTGGAACTTGATAATTTTTACCATTACCATTCTGTGGTAAAAACATATATTGCATAAAATTGTTGAAGAGGAAAGAGAAGGAATTTTCCATCTTCCCTAAGGTTACCGAAAATCAATTGCAATGGGAAATATCTCCTTTTCACTCCCTTCTTCTGGTCCTCTTGAATTTTTCGTTCTTTCAGTACTAAAATAGACAGTCTATCTGAGACTACTGGCCAGCAAGAACAAATTTTAGACACACAGAGGAGCTCAGTATCAGTTTTAACACAGATTTTCCATTATTGTTTAGATAATCACATTTGCATGGCTGGGATTTTTTTGTCTTTCTTTATTTACTGCTAAAGTGATCAGATGACTGAATAGCTACAGAGGAAAGAACCTGTGATCACATGTAACATGAGCAGAAAGCTAATTTTAATGGAGTCGAGTAAGCTTTGCTGGTAGTGCCTGGAAGAACAGTTCTGCTTTTATCATCTCATAATAAGAGACTGTGTCTGTGAATATGTGGAGATACGTATTATTTCTACAGATGGACTACACATATCACATATGTGAAAATGTGCAACTAAAAGCAGAGATGCCCAAATATTTCTTACCAGCATTGTGAGCAGGAAGGAGAGCAGATGCACAAATTAAAATCAGAATTACCATGATGATACTTTGACAAAAAGCTAATTCCTCTTCTGTTATGAGGAAAGGTGCTGCAATCAGAAGGGACTTCAACAGTTAAAAACAGGCAAGACAGTCTTCTGGTAACTACTGTTGGCTGGTTTTCCACTGAGCCCTGAGCTACAGCCTGTCCCTTTGAAGGAAGGGCGATACCTGGCTGGGGGTCATCTCATCCCAATGCAATTGCACACGTGCATAGGGTCTGCCCCGCCGGGTGCTTGTGTTTGGCCTGGCTTCCCATGGAGTTGAGATTTATTATATCTCAGTGTCTGCCTGTCTGTCAGTGCCTCTTGTCATGACTCTTGGGGTTAGTTTTAATCATGTTGGCAGAGAGTGGAAATCTCAAAACTGAAGTTCCCACAAGTTTGATGGAAATCAGTAGCCAGGCAGAGGAGAGATACTGGGACTGGGTAATGAGCACCACGTCCTGGCCAGCCAACATACACAGTGCCCAGATCCACCCAAAGCATGCACTACTCTTGTTCGGCTGGATACAGGCAGCCAGCACAGAGCTGAGTGCCCTGAGAGGGACAGCAAAATGTGTGTGAGAGAGAACAGAGGGCTCAGGAAGGGGAAGCTGAGGTTACTGTGAAGAGGGAAAGGAGGACACAAGTCTGCAGGGAACTGAGCTTCACTAGTTCTGCTACTCACAAGGCGGCTTGTTTCATCTTGCCATAATTCACTAGAAGCTGCATGGACCCAAAGAAGTTGGGTGATTCGTAAATCACACTATTCCTGTAAGTACTTTTGATGCTATTATGGGGCCTCTAATACCCATGCACAGGAGCAAAGCAAAGGGACCCTGTGAGTCATGGGCTTCATTCCCCTGCAACATCATGTTACACAACCCCCTTCCTGAATGTTGGGTGCCATAATGCAAGCAATCTATAACAGCTGACTTAAACACAATTAAACAAAATTAACAGCTTCTAGTTCTTCCCTTAGCATTGCTTGAGAGTAGATAGACTAGTACTTCTGACATGTCCTGCATCTATACACATAAAAGCATTAGCTCTCCATTTACCCAGGTGAAGGTAACAAAGCAGAGAAGAGAAATACAAGCTGACTGAGGTGGAGCAGTAGCTCTTTACTCCTGCACTGCCCAAGGTAGTGGGAGAATGGAGCTGGGAGAGGTTGAAGCAGTATTTTCCAGAAGCATCCTCTAACTCCAGCATGGTTGGTTGAAGTCGAGTTTGTGATTCCAAGCACAAGCACTCCAGTGTGGGTGAGTGCTTAAAAAGTGCTTCACAAACTGCAAACCCTCATTTATTTCATTGATATTTCTCCCTGTTTCTTCTAAATTTGCCCATTTTTAGGTAAATGTTGGTTGAAAGGCTTGGTTTAGAATTATACAGGGATAGGAACCAGGGAAACAGACAACAAAATTAGTAGCCACATCTGAAGGATTTAGAAAATAATCACACACGTCTCTGGGTAAGTACAGAAAGGTTCAGAAGGAGCATTTTAATCCCCAAGAGAGAAGCTCAGCCTGATCAGTCCTGAGAGGCATTAGGGTGTTCCCTCCGGTCAGCACGACAGGGCGAGAATGAGATCCACTCCGTCTGAGCAGAAGGAAGGCCACTATGGGAGTCAACTCTCCTGGAGAATACTGCCCTATTCAGTCCTCACACCTTCTAAAGAGGAATGCTGGTGGGAGAGCACGGTGCTTCAGATGTGTGATTTCTGCAGGTTGCAGCCATGTTACATGAATCTGTACCCTACGAGGTTAGGAGTGGATGGCAGCTCTAATTGAATTTCACATATCAGGAGACAGATAGGTGAAAGCACTTTGACAAGATCACTATGCAAAGGCTCCACCAGGATGCCAAGGCTGGTTTCTGAGCAGCCTTGTGATGCAATGTTGGGTATCTCTAACTGACTTCCATCAAACACTCCGGCTTTGTGGGATGGAAGTGAGAACTCTCACCTCCCCAACAGGGATAGTTAAATACAAGACTGGAGTCACCAGTTTAAGAGATAAAAGGAAGAAGAGCAGACAACACCTGCATCCTACAATGGCCTATTTCTCATTCAGATAAAGCATTCGGCACCTATCAATCCTGTGCAATTGAAACAGCTGCTTTGTACAAACTTCCCTCTCTGCATTGAAACCACATTCCCAGCGAGAAGTGGGTACTGAGGACTGTTGTTTTCAAATGGCCACCTGCCTGCATGCCCCAGATGTACAACATTCAACACTGCCAAAACGGAGAGAAGCTAAGGAGAATCCCAGTCTTGCACTCACTGAAGTTAAGGAGCATTTTGTCTTAATGCCTTTCAAATACTCTGATTTCAGTGACAGCAGAAACTGGACCATGGAGCAGAGCAGTGAATCAAAAGCTCCTACGAGCTGAGACAAGTGAAGGGAAAATGAGAATTTTGGCTGAACATCTTTTCTGTCAAGTAACGTCTCTGCCCAAGTTTCCTGCTCAAAAGTTAGGTCTCTTTATCCAAAAGGCAGTTTTATACACTGAGATAACCAATTCCAGCTGTCTCTTGCTATAAAATCTCTAATGAGGCAAGGAACAGGTAGCTGTTAGAATAACGAGTAGCTGGTATCTTCCATCCATTTGCCATTCACCACGCCTAACTGCTTTGCAATAAAAACTGTTTACATCTTGGTTCCAACAAGATGTGTCAGACAGCTTTATTCTGGCACCATTTTTACAAGAAAAGCATGGCATAAGACTTCGGACCTCTAGCTACTTCCCTGATTGCACTGTCCTGTCAACATTCTACATGACTAATAAAGAAGGGCTTGGTATGCAGTGTAAAGAGCGCTTCTAATTACACTTTAGATCTGAGCATGTTTTTCACCAATGCAGTTACAAGTGCTCACATACCTCTAATGTGTTGAGCTAGATTCCAAATGATGTGAAATCTTACTCTTTGAATGCAGTGAAGAAGGCGGGACTTATTAATCTTCTAATTAAAAACAAAAGCATTGGAAGAAATACTTAAAATTATGAATAAAAGTGCAGATGAAGATGCGTGTGTTTGCCTTGCAGCTATCACAATGCAAAGTGGATTTAAATAGCTCTTAGAGGAATTTCTGATTTATATCCCACATGAAATATCTGACTAGTGCCAAAGGTATGTGTGGCGGTTGCCTTTCAAATGCAGTATTATCCACCAAAGAGGTGGTATCAACATGCATGAAATTGCTGTGCTTTCTGGCTAGTAGTAGATCCAATTCATGATTGTTCAAGTACTTCTCTAGCCAAGAGGTACCAACTCTACAATCCTACTAGAAGGTCCCAAAATTTAGCAGAGGATAAGTCAGCCTCTTAATTAGAAGAAAATCCATAAGCCATTCTCTCCTGGCCCATGCCTGGTATTAATGGGGTTGAAGATATGTTGGGAAGCTTAGAAGTGAGGCTATCAGACCTGTGGATCCCGTCTGACCCTCCGGGTTCAGTCTAAGCAGTACTCTGCAGCTCAGATGCACAGGTGTATTGACCTTGCCAAGGGTTATAAAGTACATGTGCTCAGTGTTAACAAAGTATGGAGAATGCCAGCAGCTTGGAGGTTTGTGCTTAATGAGCTGGGCCTGTACTAGAAACAGAAAGAGCAAGAGTCTGTAAGAGTCCGTCAGGTAAGACATCACAACTGCTCTGCAGCATCAGTCCAGACACAGAGGACTACTCAGGGAAGGTCCCAGCTGCCTTTTGCTGCCATGGAGCTCCAGATCTACTGCAGAGTCCAAGTCTGGGGTATCCATCATGTGTGTATGCCTTATCAAACTCATGGGTAAAGAGGTATGAAAGCAACAAAAGAATTTTCCTTGTTACTTTGCTACAGGACTAACTGCATAAAATATGAAGCAATCAGAGTATTCTGTGTTGAAATCTATATAACCAAATGTTTTCAGAATGCCTCACCCTGGCTGGGGTGCAGTAAAAGATAAACGTCTTTTTTCAGGGCCATGTTCTGCAATGATTTAAGAGAGAAATATGAAGAGAAGATCATACTTAAAGGAGTTGATGCAGAGACTATGAATATACTCTTGGACTACACCTACACCAGCAAGATGCTCATCACAAAGCAAAATGTACAGAAAGTCTTGGAAGCAGCCAGCCTCTTTCAGGTACAGATAACTCAAATGTACTCATCCAGTATTTTTGCTCTGGCAACGTCGTGTCTTACCTTGGTTAACACACTGCAAACTTCTCTGATTTCATGGGTTCTGAAAGCATTGTGCTTCATATTTAATAACATTGTGGTAAAAATGGCAGCCATGTACTGGAATGCTGCTGGGCTGGCTGCCGTCCAAACAGGCACAGAGCCAGGCTCTGCCTCCAAGGGCTGCTCCCATGTGCTGCTTGCCAGGCAGCAGGGTTGTGTTGCCGGGACAGCGCTCCCCAGGGTTCAGGTCAGCCTGTGAAGGCTGGTCACCCTCCAGCCCAAAAGAGTTAGTGGGCAGTGGCTGGCATGGCTGGCCAGAACAAGAAGCTAGCTTTGTTTCTTCGTTTCCATTGCCTTGAGATGCAGGTTCACCAGCCAAAGTTAGCATCCTCATTTGTAGGGCTCTTGATGCAAAGGGTTTTAGTCATGACCTGGGACTTTTAGGAAGTCAGACTTGAGCAGTGTTACTCAGCCTTTGGTCCATGCGGTATTCACGTGTCCTATAAATCACCTGTGAGGTCTACCAAATTGCAGTCCCTGGTACCAAGCTGCAAATTGCTAACAAATTGCAACCAGCATAACCTGCCAAGTGCCAATGTGTGTATGTGTGTCCAGTCTTTTCATTAAGGAAGGCAAGAAGCACCTGACTCCATAATCATCATCGTTCATTATGAACTTGAAATTCTTGACTCTTACACAGGAGGTTTTGCTCTGAAATGAACCTGTGGCCTTTGGGGTAATGGGAGCTGGTACCTGCTGTGGGGAGAGAAGGGAAAGTTATCACAAAGTGCTCCCCAAGGTAACTCAGAGAGGTGGTGTAGCTTTAATGTCTCCTGGGGCTGGAGTGCAGTAACTTACTGACATTTTCAGCAGACCAATACTGTGAACTGGTAGCACTCAAAGGCTACTTTTGGTTCATTTTCAGAACACTTTTCTGCGATCTTTTTGTTTTCTTCTGACCCTTTTTTCCTTAGGATCATTCCTTAGGGTTTTTTTCTGAAACCATTGAAAGTATAAACTTCTGGTTTTTTCCTTTCTCTTCCCTATTTTTTCATTAAAACTAAGATTAAATTTTGTTCCCAAGGCTGATGCTTTAAGAAAACTATCAAACACTGTTAGAATAATGATAAAGCCGTAAGCAAGAATAGTAAACTACAAAAACCTGGAAAACCAGGAATGTTCAACTAAAAGCAGCAATTCCAAGTCTTACTGCAACAGTCTTGGATACTATCAAGACTTATAAGGCCTTAAAGCCTCACATTATACACAGGCGAGGTTTTTGGCTGCAAAAGTGTTTTGTGTAAAAAAGCTTTAGTAACTACTAGCATTCTGCCAGCTTGTCACTGCTATTTATGCCAAAGAACAAACAGAAACAGTTGAAAGAGTCAAATATTTCATTTCAATATATCAACAGCTGAAAAGATTAATTCTACAATTCATTGTAACATTTTTGTCTGGGAAAATCTTTCCTTTCCAATTAATGACATGTGAGAAACCCAAATTCCAAATAGAACTTTTTTATCTGGCTAGCAATAATTTTTGGCAGTGCCTCTTTTCACTCTCTCAGACTTGACAAAGAACCAAAAAAAGAAATAACTTGTACAGATATAGATACTCCACTTTTCTCTAGAAAGTATTTTTAAAAAAGTTTTACATAATTATGCCTTCTCTTAATACCTTCCAAAAAGTTTTGACCAAATGCAGCCAAAATTGACATCAGGAAGAGGTGGAAGGCTCTTCAGAGACAGCAGAAGTCATTGCCACAGTGTGCTTTGTGCAGAGATTTCCTCCTGGGGGAAGCAGGTGAAGGGTATGGAACAGGGAGCTGCTGAACAGCTAAGCCTTACCCTGAAGTGACCCAGACAAATTTTTTCCACCTAGAGCACAGTTGCAACATGAGCTCAATAGTCACCTCCTCTGTCTGGACTGGCGGCTGCCCAGTCACTATGCTCGCAAGGCTGGTGCCCACTCTGGATCCAGCCCAGCACGCTCCATGACCTGCACTGCTTGAGGAGCAACTCATCCTTCCACCTCTTGGTAGGGCAGATCTCAGCTGTTTCTCAGGACTGTGGCAGAGAGCTCTGCATCCCCCACGGTAATTCAACAACATTCAGACCTATCTACATTCCTCCTGCCCTGCCAGGAATCTCTGTATTATCCCACTCCCACAGCATGGCTTGGTGAGGGGTCACATCAGCTGCTTTGGTGGAAGCAAAGAGATGGTGGGAGGTAAGCAAGCTCCTGAGCACATGTAAAAAACAGTATTGTCGTGAAGGGCGGTGATGACCACTACCATGGAAATGCCAGCTGCGGTGGGAACAGTGGAGGATGCTCCTGAGCTGCCTCACTGACCGCTCTAAGCAGAGCACGGCTGCTCTGCCCCCAGGGCATGGCTGAAGCACCACCAGCCTGATGGCCTTACTGACTCCCAAAGCACCTCTCACCCTTATATTAATCCACTTTTCATGAACAAGACACTATAAGGAAAATACCTTGCCAATTACCCGAAAACCATCCTGTAGCAACTTAGCAGGCAACAGCCAGGGTGGCTGTCGCAGGACAGTGCTAGTTACACCACAGCCACTGCACAGTGCCAGCCATGCCAGCCCAGAAGGCATGATTTGCTAATGAAGGGCTTCTGGGCAGCTCCAGGTCAGAAATCGGTTCTCAGGCTCAGAAAGCTGTCAGCTCCCAGGGGAGCCGCCCTGCAAGGGTTGCTGTGCCCCCTTACTGCCCAGCTGGCTCCCGGCTGTGGGGCTCCCTTGGGACGCAGGTGTTACTGCTGAGCCGGGACGTGCTGCTGCTGGAGCCGCAGGCAGAACGGGTAGCTGAGGGCAGCACAGCTGCAGGCTGCACAATCTGACCCCAAAGTGTGCTGCATACAGAGGGATTATGAATAAGAGCCCTTTCAACCACCGTCCCCTTCCCTTTCTGGGGGTTACAGCAGGAGGCAGGGCTGCTGGCACTGCTTACACTAGACAGCTGAATCAAAGCTGGGACAAGCAAGGACTTCAATGGGGAGAATAAATTTTATTATTCAGAGAGAGGGCCAAGTGGAGGCCAAGTAAGCATATGGGATGTCTCTAGCAAGTAAGAACCTGGATTCAAAGGGGTATTAGGAGAAGGACCTAGTTATGGAAGAAACTGTTCCCAGGGAACAGGGCTTTTTAAATGCCTGGGGTGGCATTAGGAGGGGTACTTGCAGAAGGGAAAGAAGAAAATTTAGAGCTCTGCAAGAATAATCAAAGCAGATAAAGCACAGGCTCAGGGATATCTTCTTCTTGGGTGCTATTCTAAGTCACCTGCTCTCATGGGACTGACTGAAGCATGCCCAGCAAGTTGGGGGAGTTTTAGGGGGAGTTTTGTCTCTAAATGAATGAAGCAGTGGGGAGACAGCACAGCATGGAGACAAGGAGCAGCAGCCAGGGAAAATCCTGCCTTGATACGCTTCCTAGTGGTCCAACCTCTCTGGTTAAGCCCTTGGCGGGGACTGTTTCTCACACCCACACCTTGCAGTTCTGCAGTCGTCTGGCCACAAACACAGCTACCCAGCATGATTATGGTGCCTGCGTGGCTGTTAGACCAGTGTGCACCACCTGGGAGAAAACCCTCTGGTGTCATCTCGTGAGTATCACTCTTAACAAGCTGGGTATAAATAATTAGAGAACTTTACAGTGGTTGGGTTGAGGCTGGTGAGAACAGCGTTTTGGGGTCTGTTCCCAGACTTGTGGATGATGTGGTGAGTGACCTTGGGAAATCGTCACTGCCAGCTTTTAAAGGGCTAATGCTTAACCTGCCACAGTGTTGGCGAAGTCCTTTCAGATCTTCAGGGAAATGCACTGGTGAGTTCAAAGTGTTAGCCTTGTGCTAGCCCAGAGAACAGGCAAGACGAGCATGGCAGGCACCGAGGGGCCACCAAGCTCTGCCACGGTGTCAAAATGACGCTGACATATTTATGTCACAATGGCAGCAACATATTCTGAGACCTCGCGTACCCTTGTTCATCAGTCAGTTGCATTTCTCTAAACTCTTGACCACATCTAAATGTAAAACAGGAACCAGGCAGTCTGTATGCAGCGTCTGCGATCACTCAGCTTTGGTAAACAGTCTAAATATGTCAACATGACACTGTCGGGTCTGGAAGATTCTACCCTAATTACTGAAACAAATCTACATACTACAGTGTTTAAAACTGTTTCACTTCCTCTTTGCCCCTAAATTACTGTTGTGCAACTTTCCCCAGTGGGACAGAATGAGTTAAAATGGTTTGCTTGCTGATGCTGGATGGAAAAAGGACCCAAAAAGCATGCATGGAAATGCACAGCATCAGTTCTGCATGTCGTTATTTGCACTGCTCAGTGGCAAAACCAACACAAAATACTGATGCCTTATCCATACCTGAAATCACAGAAGCAACGAAATGCCCAGGATAAGGCACTGTAACTTGTCAGTTCTACCCAAAACTGGTTCTCAATTCCTGAACAGTCACCAGCAACGCAGCTTACATTGCAGTTCATGGCAAATACCCTCCAGATATCCGTGGCCCAGGATCTGCATGTTTGAAACCCTCAGGCAGGGCTATTGTGCAAAGGAGATGAATGAGAGCAGTTGTGATGCTCTGCTGAATGCAAACATGGAAAGTCCTTTGATAAAGCAGACTCTGTGTGTAAAATACACATCTATGTTTTTTTGAACCAATGGTGATGACAAGGAAAGCAAAAGTCACTAAAACTTCCAAAGGCCTCCCCCAAAACAGACACTTGCCAGACAACCCTGGCTGTCAGGCAACTCAAAGATTTGGTGATGATCACTCTCTTCCTACCAGATACCCCAGTACAGGGCAACATGCCCATAGACACTGGCAGGGCTGCACTTCGGCCCAATCCTCCCAGACCTCAGCACTCATTTTCCACCACCCTTGGAAGGCCTCAGACACATTTGGAGTTTGGATGGTGGGAGCATAAGTGCAGGCAGTGGAGCCACCTGCACTCCAAAATGAGACTCCCTTCTAGTTGATCTGAGCTGACATGCAAGATGAAGCAGAATAAGCAAATCTGAAGCCTAGGGACCTTATCTGTGATCCATGGTTGCTAGTGGTTTGAGATCTCATGGAGGAAAGGGGAATGGTAGAAAACCCTTTACTTTTGTGAAACAAGTAAAATTCACGGCTGTCACAGGTCTTCTCCTGAAAGAGGGAAAAGGAACAATATGGATGCAGAGGAGAAAAACAGTTGGAGGAAGAAATTTTAATTTCAGACTGCAGATTCTGGGAGATATCTGCCCTCGTATGACTGATTTCTTGTCTCCCCCAGCTCTTTGTTGTACTGCACATGGTATGTTGGGACCCAGCCCCAAAGCTCCATAGCTCTCCTGTGATAAAGTCACACAAGTAACTGCTCTGTGCTTATACATGCTTTTTCTGTCCCCAGTTTCTTCGCATAATAGATGCTTGTGCCAGTTTTCTAACTGAAGCCCTCCAGCCGGACAACTGCGTTGGTATCCTGAGGCTGGCTGATGCCCACTCCTTGCACAGCTTGAAACAACAAGTGCAGAACTACATTATCCAGAACTTCACCCAGGTCCTGAACTATGAGGAGTTCCTGGAGCTGCCGGCCGACATTCTCTGCAGCACGCTGAAGAGTGATGACCTCTACGTCACGGAAGAGGCACAGGTATTTGAAACTGTAATGAACTGGGTTCGTTACAAGGAGTCGGAAAGGTTTCCTCTCCTGCCGTATGTGCTGGAGAATGTCCGGCTGCCCCTCTTGGACCCCTGGTATTTCGTAGAGACTGTTGAAGCTGATCAACTGATTAGACAGTGTCCAGATGTCTTTCCTTTGCTCCAGGAAGCAAGAATGTACCATCTGTCAGGCAATGAGGTGAGTAAAAATGGAAGGTATTTGCTGCTTTTTCTAAATGTCTCATGCTTCTGCTCAAAAATCCCATCAGAAGTATCAGTACCATGAGATAGAAAAAGGTACTCGCACTGAAGTTTTACTTACTGATGCTACGGAAAAGTCAAAGTGGGCCTCACCAGTTATCCTGCTTGTTTAGAGAGTTTAGAAGCTTTTGGTAGGTTGTTTTAAAACCAAGTGTACAGCTCCCTGTTTATGAACATCCGAGCCCGACCATTCACACACGCACTTGCATAGCTAAACAAAGACCCCAGGTGACTTCCCTAGTAGAAAGGCAAATGGTGTTACTCCTGACACCTCAACCTCTTAGCTATTATTTCAAGCCTAAGAAAGGAAGAACAATTTTCCCACTAAACTGTGCCACAATCTGTAACAACTCTCTCAAATCTGAATAGGTGACATGTCCATCTGTTTCTTATGGGGGGGAAATATTTCAGAAAGAGGGAACCTCCCATGAACAAGACGGTCTCTTCCCAGAGGAGAGGTCTGCCTATGTTCCTCATTTTCAGAGGTCTCTGCACCCAAAGAGACAGGTTCATCCTGACATCCAGTCGAGTCCTGTCCTACCTGCTCAAGGTAGGCTGTGGTGGCTCTCTGGTTCTTCAATTGCCCATTCTGTTTGGAAAGTTAGATATCAATCACACCTCCTGGCCCAAAATATGGGGTAGAGGGGAGAGCAACCAGAGGTCAGATTTCAAAACAGGAGCAAAGGTATGTTAGCATGTGAGGAAACATGTGTGCTTCCTCAATCAGAGAGTCAGAGGAAGGCAGGTGGCCTCAGGAGCATGTTGTGAATCCATCACTAACAGTGGATGTATCACTGGTGGGGGTGAGAGACCAAGGGCTTTCTGTGCTGGTGACTGTGTAAGACAGTACACGATGACCCAGGGCAATGCTCGCCAGTCTGATGGGAGCTCCTCACAGAAGCCTTGCCCCAGTGCTGTCAGGTCCACGTGGGATAGGTAAAGGGAGTGTTGCTCAGGATGGAACACTCATTGCATTCATCTTCAAAGTGGCAGCTGTCAGAGGCAGTTCTGCCAGTTATTCTCTCCAGGGCTGACTCTTGGCAATGGTGACAGATGGGTTAAAAACAGAAATCTGAAAGCTGGCAAGTTCTAGAACATATGTTTTAAAAAAAAATTCCTAATGATTTGCTAAACATAGAGAAAATACAAGATTTATGTCTGTATAAATAATATTTTTAATACGCATGTTAAAAGCAGAAAGAGAAGTAAAACTGTAAGCAAGCTGCCTATTATCACAGCATTTAACTTGTGAGTCCACAGACTTCTGGGACATGCAGGGGGTAACAACTGCAATTACTGCAGAGGAGTGCAGACCTCTTCCCAGCAGACTTTGAGGGTCCACAAATTGGCAAACGCCTTGTGATACAGCATAAGCAGAAGAACAACTTCATGTCCTCCCCATGCATTTTACACTATATTTCTTCCAGTATGAAAAACTGGAGGGTGGGGGAGGTTGAAGAAGTTTATTCCTTCTATCCTTCAGCATAGAGCCAGCACACCTTGGGATACTAATGCACTGATTTCGACTTACTTGCAAGTATTTCCTCCAAGCAGAACAAAGGTTTCCAAGCACCCTCTGCATTCTTTGCTCCTGGTGAACATCTGCCTGGGAAGTGACTTTTTCCAGTGTTGCTGAAACAGAGACCTGGTCAATAAACTGAGCCAACAGGCAGTAAATTAGAGCTAACCACTTTTCAGAGACTGGTGCTGGCTTTAAGTAAATCTAATTTTAGCTTAAAATTAAGGCTTATAAACAAAGAAACAAATCAAAAACCTCACAGTTGAGAATTGTTACTGCTTTGACACTTTAACATATCTCTTCAGGACAAATAATGAAAGCACTTATTTTCTGCTAGTGCTAACTGCAGTCTTGCTCTCTCTAAGCTCCCCAGGGTATACACAAACCTTGGGGTGCTCCTACCTTGCCCTCACTCTGTTAGCCCAAATAAAACCTGTCCTTTTCAGCTGCCTCACATGCACCCAGCCTTGTCATTAGTGCTCACCTTCATAGTTCTTGGTGCCACCCTGGGAATTCCCAAGAGGATCTGAAAGGATCCTAGCAGGTAGGCAAAAGCGATTAAGTCCAGTGTTGGAGAAATCTTGCTGAAAGGAAGATACAGCTACCTCTACTGAATGATTCTAGGATGCTTTCTGGGCTTTCAACTTGGAAAACATTTGATAATTGGTTCAGCTGATGTAAGCCAGTTGTGATTTGCAGAACCGGTAATCAGAAAAAAAGTCACAAGACCTTTCTGTAATTGTAGGTGTAATTGCCCTGTGTACTCACTCTGTCTTGCTTGCATTTAGATTATTACAGAAAGAACCAAGCCCAGGATGCACGAGTTCCAGTCTGAGGTGTTTATGATCATAGGGGGCTGTACAAAAGATGAGAAGTTTGTAGCAGAAGTGACTTGCCTGGATCCTTTGAGGCGAAGCCGCCTGGAAGTAGCAAAATTACCAATCACAGAGCAGGAGACGGAGAATGAGAATAAAAAATGGGTGGAGTTTGCATGCATTACGCTAAAAAATGAAGTCTACATATCGGGTAAGGAACAAGACACTGGGAATGGAAGAGGGGAGCAGAGGATTTTCGCAATTATTTCCAGCTTTTGTTGACAGCATGCTCAAGGCAGCTTTAGGAGAATTAAGCACTACAGGTATTCCTAATGCTTTGGCTTTGAACAGGCTCCAGAGAAGCACTGGGTGTGTGAGGACACTGCCTAGCCCTGGTTTTAGCACAGGATTCCTTTTCAAATGATACTAATCTATGTGCCTGGCTACTTATGTGTGGCACCCTAAACACTCAGTGACCATGGTCTCGGAAGGGCCCCGAGAACAGTTTACCAAACATAAAATGAAGAGTAATTGCTCCAGCATCTTCCTGTAACAAGTCCATTTTCAGCCTCACATGCAGAAGCAAAATCCTGTCAGAATCTGACTCATTCTGCAAGAACCACTCAAGAACCTGCAGGGAACTGTCACCACTGTTTGGCTGCTACCTGAAAACTGCACTTTCAGGAGCACTTCAACAGCCATCAGACAGGACTCCAGAAGTGCTACTTGCTAACAGGAATATTAACTGTCAAAGACAGATGAAACCAAATGATCCAGACACACATCCCACTTGCAGGCCCTCATCCTGAGAGCTTCAGGAGGCATATTTAACCTCCCACACAAATACAGTTGAGCTCCATGTAGGGGTTTGATCCTGGAGCTTCAGAGTTTTTACTTTGACAGTCAAAAAGTTAAAATCAAGCTTGCTAGTCAGTTTGACAGCTGTTTTTGATGGCCTGTCAAAAACAAGTTTGATGATCTTGTTCTGCTTTCCAGAGGAAAAGTGACAGCAAGCTTTTAATCACTGTCACATTACAGACCACAATACAGAGTAGTGCCTCCATGGGTAAAGTACTTTTTCCTGCAAAATCATCCACCAAGTTCTATGCTCACTTAAAACAGGTGAGTAGAAAGGAGGAGGGAGGGATAAAGTGTGAATGCTTTTCTTAAGTATGAATGGCAGTCCATTGCCTTTATAAAATATCTTCCATTGAATTCTTTCTTTTGAGAATCCACATATTTTTATTACCTCCAGTTTAAAGCTTATTAAATCTTTATCCTGGGTAAGAATTAAACTATTCTTTCCGTAGTTACAAATAAAGGAGGTTTTTCCTTTCAGCCCACCATAGGGAGCTTCTTTTTCCTCTGGCAGCAAACCCTCTGTTAAAAGTTAGCTGTAGAGGGGAACCTAAGTCAAACATCCCAACCAGGGAACATCCCTCACACCTTCACACCCTTGAGTTGGGAGGTCTCTTTTCCATTTGCCTTTAATCTCTTAACCCTTCCTCTTTTTCAAGGTTACAGGCTTTTTGCCTCCTTTTTTTCCTGACATCTTTTTCTATCTTTTCTCCACTTTTCTTTCATGCTCTATCCAGGCTACCTCCAGGCCAGGCTAACACCGTCCCCCCTGTGGTGAGTCTAAGCTGGCTTTCCTTTCGCTGCTATTCTCATAGGTCCTCTTTCTTCCTTCTCTGGATTTCATATCTTCCACTCCCTCTCTCCATTCCCTCTCAGCCTTCCTCTTGTCTCCTTTTCATCCTTCCCACCCAAATACAAGGCTGAGTGGACCAAAGTCATTAATAGTTTCTTTCCAGCTAAACCAAATTATTAGTGTCTCAATCCTGATTAAACATCTGCCTGTGTCCTTTCACCCTTGTTTTTTTTTAGCTCCTGTGACTTGATTCTTTTCTAACTTTACCTGCATCTTTCCTAACTTGATCTCCCCTCCCATGTGCTCATTTCTCTTGGTATCTTGGTACAGTTTGGAGTGTTCCATGCTCTTTTAGCATCTGAACCATAGGAAAGTCCTTTACGCAAGATTATGACTACTTTTAGAGCACCATTTCCCTGAACAGTTTAAATGCTTTAACTGGATGGACAGAAACAATACATTTGTAGTGTGACTGAAGATAAAATGAATTATCACTCACCATTCTGTTACTTTTACCAATTTAGTTACAATTTTTCATCAAATTAGAAAGAGCTGTGGTCTAGAGAAAGAGCAAACTCAAAATAAACCTGCAGTTCTCTCCCTGCCCCTTGATGTGCAGTAAATACACCCGCCCAGTCGAGCTCAGGCTCCTACCAGAGTTTCAGCCTGTGCAGGAAAGAACAAGCTCATGTAAAAGGGAAATGTCAAGGGAAGGTAAGGGGAACACCTGCAGTCTCTCAGTGCTATTGTAACCATGAATGCTGCATTCAGGCCCTTCAGCCACTTCAGCTATTTGAGTGCAAATAAAATTCAACATATACATGTGAAAAATACTGAGACAAAAGCATTACAAACGACTCTTTCTAGCATGCTAATTATCTCCTATTCAATCTGCTATTTGGCCCAGAGATGAGTTCCATCAGTTTGCAGTGATCTGGCTGCAGTACAGAATACCAATGAAGGCAGACACTTTCTCAATGGAGTATGAATTCTCTTTTCAGTATATTCACCAGTGAAGCAAATATTTAATCAGGTTGCAGATGATGGAATAAGCTACTCAGTCTGTAAATGTGGTTTCAGGCTTAATTAGATCCATTTGTATTGCAGTTACACCAAAAATTATATGCAAACAAAAGTGCTTGTTTAAAACACCGCTTTTCACTTTAGCATTAGTAAAGATTCACTTGCAAGTCAGCTCTAGAGTGAGTCTGCAGGGTCTGATTCTGATCTTCAATCTATAAATATGAAGCAAATTCAAGTCATTAAAGAAAGAGACCAGGAGAGGTACAAAAATGAGATACCAGCCTTATGGTTCCAAGGTTGAATAGTAAAACTTGTAACATGTCATGCAGGACTACTGTTGATAGTTCAAAGTCAGGTCTTTTGTTTTAACCATGCAAACCAGTAGGCTAGCTGACTGGATCTATCCTGCACAAACTGGCAGCTCCCCAGTGCAGGCCCGCCTTCGAGGACTTTGGCACTGCCAGCTGAAGCATCCTTCATGAAATTATTTAAATCACGTTTGTTTATTTGTCACTTTGCGGCATTCCGCAAAGCCCTGGTGGTGCACAAAAATCTTCTGCATATCACCATGCTGTGTGTGTTTGGTCATCCACTCAGTATTAAAATGAAAGTGGCTGTGGCCTGGTAAAGTGAGGAACAGTGATTTATCTTTACTGAATATTTGTTGCAGAAATTGTTCAGTTTCCCTCACTATTAAGTAAATTAAATGCAGAAATTTTCTTCTGATATAACAGAGCCAGGCCATTGGTGTAGGTAATTAAGAAGCTAACAATAAGTACCAATGATTTATTTTCTATTGTGAGAGGACATTTTTAAATTTAAACATATTGGAGATTTTTAGTAAATACAAGCTATGGTACCATATTTACATGTGTCATGTACACTGCAGGTGGCAAAGAAACAAAGCATGACGTCTGGAAATACAACGCCTCCATCAACAAATGGATACAAATTGAGTACCTAAATATCGGGCGATGGAGGCATAAAATGGCTGTGTTGGGTGGCAAAGTATATGTCATTGGTGGGTTCGATGGCATACAGAGAATCAACAGCATGGAAACATATGATCCCTTTCATAACTGCTGGTCAGAGGTAAGATGCTGCATTACATAACATTTTACTCAGATCTAGTACAATTCTTTTAAGTATTTCTGGTCTGTAAAAACTCAAATATTTTTCTGTAGAAATGTGTATCCTTCAGAATGTAAAAATCACACTATTGCCTGCCAATCATTGCCAGTGAGACATCTAATGCCTAACTTCCCTTTTCTTATTTGGCTTTTAAAGCTAGTAGTCCATAAACTAGTGAACCAGAGCACAGGCGGAAAACTACTGCTCTGATACGTAGTATATGTAACATGTATACGAACACCTGCATTATATACAGCATGCATTATAGATTTAAGTTGAAAGTACAGGCTTCAAGGTAAACAGTATGGAAAAAACCCCCAGTTCTACTAACTGTACTTCAAGCAATGAGAGAAGAGTATTAGGCAGCCAATTAATTCATGAAAGTAATGAAATTAGGCGTTATAATGGCAGATACAAACCCTAGTTTTAGATGACACAAAGCAATGCGGAGGGATCTAACAATCACAGCTGAAAGTAGAAAGATCAGTGTGAACAAGTTTCTAGGTTTTTTTCAATGTACATGAGCATGTAAAGGCGATTTTGGGCATTTCTGACATTTCCTAGCTTTTGAATTGTTGATGACATAATTTTAACAACAGCATTTGAACAGACCATGTATTTATTAAGGGGTTTACAGTCTTAAGAAAAAGCTGAAACATAATTTTCTATTATCCCTAGAAATGCCACCTTCTGAACCCTACTGTTCATTTTAAAAGGGATGTCTGACTCAAAATTCAGCAGGCTTCCACCCTGTAGGCATCAGTCTGACTACTTCAGATGGCTACTAATGATTTTTTACGGTCACACAGGCTGCTCCCCTCATGGTCAATGTAAGCTCCTTTGCAGCAGCAAGCTACAAGAAGAAACTCTATGTGATTGGGGGAGGACCCAATGGGAAGCTGGCGACAGACAAGACTCAGTGCTACGACCCTGTGACCAACACGTGGAGCCTGAAAGCTGCCATGCCAGTAGAAGCCAAATGCATCAATGCTGCAAGTTTCCGTGATCACATTTATGTTGTGGGTAAGTGGAGCATTAATGGTCCTTCTTGCCTAAACACAGCACAGATTGTTAGTTTTACCCACAAACTCAATGGAGCATAACCAAATGGTCAGATGGCTCTTCCCATTGAGCTGAGTGAGGGATGGGAATCCAGCACATTGACAAACAGTAGTGAAGGGTCACCAAGTCAAACTCTTTGTTAGCGTGGCAGGTATCTTGGAAAGCTGGAGCTAGCCCAGAGACAACTTAAAGCCATCCAAAGGTGGGTTCATAGTGGCAAGGGCATGACCTCAGGGCTGCATGCTGTCCCTTCTCCTCTCCAAGGGCATTACACAGCCCACTGCATACAGGATTTATGTACTGATATGAGTATTAGGAGTAAGTCATGGTAGCAGAGCCACTGATACCCAAAGACCCAGCCTCTCCTCTAGATTGTGCTTGGGGTTGACTCAGCCAATTGCCATAGCTTGAAGCAAAGATGGAAGAACAAGAGTTTAATGGTGGTGAGCTGAACAGTGGAGGGAGGAGGGAGCCTGCTCACATCTCCAGGTGGTGGTGGAAAAGCCAAAAGAAGGAAAGAAGAACATTTGTTTCCAAAACAGGAGCTCTGAAAAGTTCTCCCTCCCTCTCTCAGCCTTGGTGCAGAAAGTTTCTCATTTGCAATATAATCAATATGGTGCTGAGGGCTGGCACAAACCCAGAGTATCACCAGTGGTGTTCTGAAGGGAGATTTATAATCTGCATGTGTGTGCACATACATATATATATATGCGTGCACCTTGTGTGTATGTAAATACCTTGTGCTTCTACTCAGCACAGGGATTGACCTCACCCTTTTTGTACAGGATGACAGACAGAAAGAGAAGGCATGACTTAAAGGCTAGCTGATACAACTCCTGATAAAAATTGACACAATACTCCAGTTACATTCATTCAGCATCTTTCAGACAGTAACAGTCACCAGTAAACCTATTATTTACCTATCTGAGAAGCAAATCTGGCTCAATTGGATAGAAATCAGCCCCACCTGAAGTTTAAAAGGTAAAAGAGCATTTGGTTACTGCATCTGAAGCAACCGAATTACCCAGACTGATGAATTACCAACTGCCAGATGAATCACTATAAGTAGCAATGTGTATCTTTTCAGTCTGCTCCAATTGGGAAATAAAACTTAAGTCACCTCACAATGACTTGATCATTCCTGAAGTACTGGACTAGTATTGTCAAAACCAGCATTTGTTATAACTACAATAGATAAATGCTTACTTTGCCATCAGGTAGGATCCCAGGCATTATTGTACCTCATCAACAAGACCACGGCTTCAAGGTTTCCACAGCCTTATTGTATACAGCTACTATAGAAGACACATCCAGTCCCTAGTTTTCAGAAGAAGAACCATTTAGCTGTTGGTACTCTCAGGAGGGAATATATTTCCATAACCCTTCTTGAGTATGGAGGTATTGACCATTTTTCAAGAGAACAGGACCCTGCAAAATTGGAAAAGGTGCACAAAAGGTTTCAAGAATGACTTAACATGGAGAAACTGAAGGTCACTCTCTGTTTAGCATACCCATAAGAAGCTTTTTTGTTTAGTCTGACAAACCCCAAAATGAGGAAGGGGCTTTTGAAAACAGCCAGCTCCAGGCAGAAGGAGGTTTGATGGACAGATGGACACTGAAGTTAGAGGAGTCAATGAAAGAATCATGTACCCATTTCTAGTAGTGATGGCTTACCACACCTGGTCTTTCATGATCTAAACTCTTTTAAACAAGATTGTATTTTTCTAAAGTTGTGTCCTCAGCTGAAGCAGCAGGTATGAGAGACGTCTGTTGCTGGGTGCACTGTGGTCACACTGCATGACCACAGCAGTTTGTTCTGGCCTTAAATTCCAGTCTTATGAACAATAAGTGGCCTTCTGCAGATCTGGCTTTCAAAACAATAAAGTATAAGTGGCCTTCTGCAGATCTGGCTTTCAAAACAATAAAGTATCTCGTGACCTTGTTTTTTCTTAGCTTTGGGGCATAAATCATTCTTATGAATGTCAGGAATAGAGCCTTGATGAAGTGGGTGGTTTAATTAAAATCTCTTACAGAAATGGCCAGTGCAAACTAATATCCATTTCCTCTCCAGGTGGGGCAATGAAAGCACTCTACTCCTACAGCCCCCAGGAAGACACATGGTGCCTGGTGACTCAGTTCACCCATGAGAGAGCCAGTTGTGGGATTTCTCCTTGTAACAACAAGCTGTTTATCACCGGTGGACGAGATGAAAAGAATGAAGTCATTGCGACAGTGCTGTGCTGGGACCCTGAAACTCAGAAGCTGACAGAAGAGTGTGTCCTGCCACGGGGGGTGTCTCATCACGGGAGCGTTACCCTCAGGAAGTCTTACACACACATCCGTAGGATTGTGCCTGGGGCAGTTTCTGTCTGACTGTAGGAGAACTGCAAAGGAACCACATACCTCTGAGCCCCTGTGGCACAGACTGCAATGATGATGTTTTTTAGCTGCAGGTAGCAACGGATGGAAATTCCGAAACTGGGGTCATCTGGGGAGTATCTGTATATATGCTCAGTCCTTGCATTTCCTCTGTACAGTATATCCTTAAATTATCTTAATTCCTTCCTTCCATAGAAAAACAAAGGGACTAGCTGTAGTTTACTCCTGCCAACACAATACCTCCAATCAGGAAAAGAAATGTGATGTGTAAGCGGGAAATTTACTTCCCAGCTATAAGTGCCCTGAAACATGCTTGAACTTGCTCAGCCTGGTCCCAAAGTTTGTTCAACTATTTATTGTGTTAAGTTGGAATTGCAGTATCTACTAGTGAAAAAGAGAAGTTGCTTTTTTGGAATGAAAGATTTGTAACTTTGGTGAAATGTAAAGTCATTTCCTCCAAAGCTGTGCTTTTTTCTAGTCGTTGGCACATTAGATTAAGTTAAAACAGTTTTGTTTGTTTATTTGCTTGCTTTGTTAAAGTGCAAGACACTTTGTTAGTTTTTCAGTTCTGCGTGACCAAAAAAAAATCCATCTCTGTTTGCAAACCTTGCTGTCATTCCCAAGAAAGAGACTGCACAGGTTGCAAATATAAATGAACGCTAATCTGGTTCTGCTGAACTTTCATTGTAGCTGTTTTCTAATAAAACAGGCCAAAACATAGTTTTCCTTTTGTTCTATTCTGGGGTGGTTACTGCTCTGCCTGAAAGGCTTTTTCTTCTCATTGTTGCTGTACACGAGTACCGGTGCCCCCGACTGCTCGCATCCCTGCCTCTATCCCCACTGGGTGGCAGTGCTCTGCCAGGATTTTTCTCACGGGTTTTGCTTTCCTGGAATGCAAACGGACAGAACAGTCTGATGGAGAGAAAAACAGTTCCAGGTACTGCTTCCAGCTTGATTCCTGGGACCATTACATGCTGTACCAGGAGGGGCAAATGTTCAACAGGCAGGGAGGGCCCGAGTCTCAAGTCCCAGCATCTGGGTCAGTTGTAGAGAAAGAAAAATAAACATTGGTCAGGCCTTGGATGCTCTGGGACACTCTTGGCCAAAGGTTGGGAACATATTCCTGTCTCTCCTCCCCTGCCTAGTTGCTGGAAAGAGCCAACTCATCATTAAATCAAGACAGAAAACACTGTGCAAAACAAATCTGTCCAAGCAGTGACTCCTTCCAGCTTCTCTCTCACTCTGTAATGCCTCCTTTTGCCTTATACAGTATTAAAAATAATATCTCTCTCATGTTGGGCTGAGAAGAAAACATGCGTTCCTGAATTTCAGCACACTAATGCCAGAGTACTCAGTGGTACAGCAGGGCCTGCAGACAATACTGGTGAGTGTCTGCTGCAGCCATGCAGGCTGAGAGGGCAGATGCAGCCCATGGGGTAGAAGCATGCCCAGCAACAGGTCTCCACTGTGTCCTTCCCTCAGAAAGACTGCAAGAAATCCTGTCTCTTCTGCAATTTGCCCAATGACTTGAAACTAACCTCTGTAATTGCAGCCAATCCCCACATTTTCTTACTCTAATTTTCCCACAGTCCCTCCGTTTTCAACTATTTTTTAAATTGGTCCCCTTCCTTCTTTACATTCCTGTCATTCTGCAGGGGTGCAGCACATTTCACGCTTCCATGCTGGCCCAGACTATCCCATCCCACTCTACCTTTCAGAGGGCATGATAAAAAGAGTATTTTATTTCAAAAGGTTTTTGTGAAAAACTGTTACCACCTTTGACTCGGCTAGCAGTACTGGCTGGTCTATAGGGACAGAGAAGGTGGATGAATGGGGCAGGTCTCCTTTTCCCCTTGAGAAGCTGTGTTTCTATATCTTCACCTGTTGCCAAAGCTAATGATAGCAGCTGCTGAAGCTGACCAGTTCTTCCTACTGGGAATCATCAAACCAGTAGCCCTTAGGAGTTGGCTGCTGATTTTCTTCCCGTGATGTCAGTAGCAAAACTTGAATTTTTTTTTCTTGAGAAAAATAATCCACTGAGATGGAAAAAAGTTGTCCAAATAAACTTCCCAATACAAATTCTTAACTCTACATATCCGAGATGGAAAACAGCCTTTTATCTCTCCTATGGTAGTTCCCCAGCCACACCTGCAGACCTTGGGCAAACACAAGCCAGACCATCCCTCACTGACAAACACGAGACAGCAGAACTACAGCTTGACTCCTTTCCCTCTCCTAACTCACTCATGAGAGTCTCAAAAATTCTGATGTTTTAATATCAGTTCATGAAGACTTGTTTTTATTTGCCTCCCTGCTCTTTGTACCTTCCAGATTCATGTTGCAATCTGATGGACTGGAAGTATATTGAAAAACAAAATCATTCAGGATCAGTAGTTTTATGTAGGCACCAGAAATCACGAGGCTTGTGAAAAAATGGTGAGAACTAGCAGTGCTCTGCCCTCAGTTACCAGCAGTGAGGTGGGGGTGGAGACAGGAGACAGCAGAAATCAAGTTTCAAGGAAACTTGTAATTTCCTTTTCCTATCACTAGCTCTCTCTCATCTGTCATACATATCCACCTCCTGCAGGGAAGGGCCACAATCACAGTTCCTGTCCAAAGGACACAGTATCTCAGTGTACAAAACCAGTGACTTGCAAACCAAAGAGCAGACAACTCCCTGCCGGAGCTCTGTGACCTGTCCCAGGGGCAGCTGGTGCTGTTCCCTAGCACTGGGACACAGCCCCAGGGTTCTCAGGGCTGCCTCAAATGCAACCGGCCAAACGCCAGTTTCCTTCTGACCTATTACTATATTAAACTTCCCTTAGAAAATGACACAGCCAACTGATGGAGCAGGAGTAGACACTCTAATATTAATTACTGCAGGAGGTTAATTAGTTTTACTGAATTACTCAAATCTCTGAAAATGAACTAAACCTCAAATCCAAGGCTGTGTGTTTGTTTATGTGCCTGGAGATTCTCTGTATTTCATGACACAAACTGATATCATTTGAGGCATATACCTAACTGCAGATTTAATTATTTCTCTAGTGCCCCTGGAATGCAGGTCTTGACTCCCTTCAGTCTGCAAGTTACAGACAGCATTCAACTGCACTGTAAATCCAACCAACAGAGGGAAGCTAGCAGTGGTAAGTGAAGTGCCAATGCTGACACAAGAAAAGAAGGGAAAAACTGACCAGGAATATATTTAGGCTATAAATTAGAATACCGTTTGTGATTTATGCTATTGCAATTCACTAAAAGATTACTGCCCCCAGCTGCCAAATCACATGTTAAAGTCAACTGCTCTCCATTTCACTTTAAATTGACATGCTGGGCAGGCACAGTGACATCCAAGAAGTTCACTTATGTGACCTGGGAGAGGTCGATAGCTGGGCTCTGGTAAATAGTCTCAGTTTGAGCCTCCAGAGCTTATGTGGAGACATCCTTACAAGGCTGCTAATCACTACAGCCGTGAGGTTCTGGCAAATTAAGACTAACAATCTTTAAGACAAAACTCAAGACATTTATGAAAAGAATTATAGGAACCTAGTGCTTGTGACGTTGCCCTGACTGATTTGGTCCTATTCAGATAGATTGGGGAAATCCCCAAAGACAAATGATTCAGGTGTACGCTGTGTTTCTTCTAGACGTGCTGTAACACATTGCTTTTCTACCAAACAGCACACTAATATTCCATGGGAAGAAGTTGTCTACAAGCAGTCACTTAAGAAAAACTTACCTATCTAATGTTAAACCACCTTAAAGTGGATTAATAAAACACTATCAACTTGCAACGCAGATGACCTTTTTAGAATTTCATTCAACTTAACTAATTTCAGTTCAACTAAAGTATCTTCTAGGCAAACACCCGTTTCAGGGAACAATTTCAGGGGCATGAATAAGATTATTTTATTCGTCTTTCTTAGAAGGTCATTTCCACAAAGCAGTGTTTTGTTTTCCTGGTCCTTATGATATCACTGTAGACAGATTTCATACATACATAAACTTGCCAAGATCATCAGTTCACTTCCTCCATCTTTCAGTGTCTTTCTTTATATTACCGAACTTCTAATTGTGTCTAAATATCTCCAGGGGATGTGTATGTAAGAAAAAGTTACAGAATTTGCAATATAATCCTATTTGAGTCTGTGCTGGAGATTAACTTCATAATTGACAGTGATTAGCAGGAAGATCAAGTACTATTAACCTGCAGCTGCTCAAAGTCACCTATGGATGCATATAGAACTACCTTTCTTTATACTACTTACACAGTTATCTTTACTACTTAGCATGAAAATTTACAATATAGGTAAACTTCAGGTAATACAGCTTAAAAGAACATTGCATGCACAGAGCAACCTGCAAATTATCAGCACCTTTGCTAGTGGGCATTGGCATAAAGAGCTGGGCCCAGGATATGAGCAGCCTGGCGAGTTATGGGTATCTGTTCCATTCTTGATCACACTGCATGCTAAAGGGATTTAGCAGAAAGCACCTGATCTAGTATGCAGACATTTTCTCCATCCTTCCTAGTGTTACGGAAAAGCCCTGTTATAGGCTGAATATAAAGTCTTTATATAAACACAGCTTGCGTGACGGATGTCTATGGTACATTCATTTTGGAGAGAAATAAAAGCAGCCAGTAAAAAGCAACTTCTAGGTCCTTTTTTTTTTTTTTTTTTTTTTTTAAAAAAGGAAGAGGATTGAGAAGAAATGCTGGGTTTTTTTTTCTGGAAAACAAAGCAATTACTCAGGAATTTAATGCTCCTTTGGGTCAAAATAGGGGAAGCACAGAACAATGGTTAAAGCAAATAAGGAATATTACAGTTTATTCAGTTGCAACAACTTTACCTTAGAGATGCTCTTACACAAGAAATGTCCCTTAGCAGCAAAGCCTCTAAGATGTCCCTGCTCATTCCCAGCTCTGAACTGGAATTTGTTACCCCCCTCAACTGTGCTGACATACCAGTTTGCATAACATCCTATAAAACAGATTGCTGGGATAATCTTGGTTAAAATGAAAACAACACCACTTCTCTTTGGAGAATATCTTTGGATATTTTTAACCTGCAATCCCAGAAGCAGTTGTATCAGCAAACTAGAGAGCAGACATTGCAATGTGAGGAGAGTAACAAGCAGTTTGGGAATGAGGAGAGAAAGAGATCAGCAAAAAAAAAGGCTCCATTGCCAAAAAACATCTCATGCAACCAGACACCGATCTCCTCCTGGCTCACACTCAGTGGAATTCCCCAGATG